CCCCGCCCACTCTCTTCCTGTCTTTCTTTCTCCCCCTCTCCCCCTCTCCCCCTCTCGCGTTTGTCAGCTCGAAATGGACCCACTCGGGGCTCATGCTGCCCAGATGTCAGCTGGCCCGGGATCTGGTCAGCCCTCGCCCGCGCCCCCGCCGCCGTACGCCCAGCCAGCCGCCGGGCAGGTGGCGAGCCCGCACCGGAGTAGCCTGTCGGCACCGGGCCCCACGGCCGACGCCGCTGCTGGGGCCCCTCCGGCGGGCGCCGGTGCCGTGGCGACCTTCGATGACCCGCTGCCGACCCTGCATATCCGCGTCACGCGGAATCCGCATCCATGCGCGCCCTTCGCCCTGCGCACCGGGGCCGCCGCCGGAGCTGCCACTGCCGGAATCGGCGCCTTCAACCTCCTCCCCGGGGGGCATCTGCTGTCGGTCGGCCAGTCGGTGACGCACGCTTTCTTTGATGGGTTTGCCGGGCTGCCGCGGCCAGCGCCAGCGGGGGCTCCCTCCCCAGGGCAGCTGGCCGCCGCGACGGCCGGCGCCGTGCAGAAGGCCTGTCGGTCGGCCTGCACCGATCTCGAACCCTACATCGTCTCCCAGCCGCGCATTTATGTGGATCACCAATTCCAGGCGTACATCTCCCTGAGTCTGTCGGACACCGGGCGCCCGGGGTCTGCGGCCGGTCGGTGGTTCCTGCGCGAGGCGGCCGTCCAGGTGACGCTCCTCCACTCGCAGGGCCGCAACACGGACCTCCGGCCCCAGCCGCTGCTCAACACATCGCTGCCATTGGCCCCGGTGGCGGACTACCCTCGGCCGGGGCAGTCGCTGTCGGTGTCGGTGGCCCTGCAAGTGCCCCAGGAGTTCGCCATCAGCCATCCGATTACCAGCCACGGGGTGCGACCTCTCCCTTGGACGGGTGTCCCGGCTGGTGAGGGGGCCTTCCTTCCCTTGGCCCGGCCCTGTTTGCCATGATCCCTGTCCCTCTGCCTCTGCCTCCCCCTCCCGGTGTGCCTGACCGTCTGTCCCCTCCATCCCTTCCTCATCTTCCACTGGTCTTGGTCGGCCCGATCACCTTCCAGGACTACTCGCTCACCTGCACGGTGCGCGCGAATTACGTGGCACTCAGCCCCGCCGGTGCGGTAATTGCCTCGCGAAATGTCACACACAATGCCGATGCATACCGCTTCACGGCGACCCGGCCCATTCGCATCTCGCAGGTGATCGTGCCCAAGCGCAAGTACGTGCCAGCCGGGCCTCTTGATGATCCGCCGTCGCCTCCTGGCATTCCCTCCCCCCCCCCCCCTTCCCCTGCCCACCTCCTGCCGTCTGCCTGACTGACATCCCGACGACACGTCTCGCCCCCATCACCTTCTCCGCTCCTCCCCCCCCCCTCCCCCCCCTCCACCTCCCGTTATTCACCGAATCAGCAATACCACCTCGCTGATCGACGTGGCCATCCAGAACACCTCGCGGCGGATGATCTCCATCGACAGCGCGTCCTTCGAGGTGCCGAGCCAGTTGCGTGATGTCATCGAGTGTGTGGCGTATGGCCCGGCCACCGGCAGCACGGGCGCCACTTCGGCTGGCCAGCCGTCTCCCAACTCCTTCGACGCGCTGATGCGCATGGCGGCCGACACCCTGGGCGACGGGGCCCGGCGGCGACAGGGCTTCAGCATTCAGCCGAATGACTCGGCTAATGTGGTGTTCGAGGTCCGGCCCGTGGGCATGGAGCAGCATCAGCGGCAGGTGCCACCTGCCCAGGAGCAGGGTGATGTGTCCAGTTCTCGGGCAGTCGGCCCGATCGAGTGGTCCACTGAGCTGGAGACCCGCGCCAGCTACAATGTCAAGGATCTCGGCCTGTTGAGTCTGTCCTGGAGCGGGCCAAATGGCATCGACGCCATCCAGGTGACGTTGTCCGGTTTCAACAAGACGGTACGGGCGCGCCCTCCCTCCCCCCTCCCCCTCTCTGCCCCTCTCTGCCCCCTCTCTGCCCCCTCTCTGCCCTTGGGCTTGCGAGGATGTATTGACAGAGCAGTTGTTCCCTCTCCTTCGATCGTCGTCGGGCCCAGCTCCTCAACCTCCCGCCGGTGGAGGTGACCCTGCTGCCAGATCCGCACTGGCCGACGGGGAGGCCCATGCAGCGGGATGTCCCCCAGCTGCGGCTCCTCCGGGTGCGCAACACGACGCCCCTGCCGGGCGGCCCACTGGCCGGGGCCAGTCATGTACTGGTGTCGCTGCGATTCCTCATCCGGAATATGTCCGACGCGTTGGTGGTTGGGGCGGTATCGGACGCCGCGCGGATCTCCCTCGCCGGGGCCCTCTGGACGCCGGACAGCGGCCCACCGAGGGCCGAGCAGTTCCACACTGTGAAGCTCAACGGGGCTGGCTGGACGCCGGTCAATGTGGGCATCATCCCGCCCGGGGCGTCACGCGCATGCCCTGTGATGGTGCGTGTGCTTGGAAATGTGTCGGCGCGGCATGCTCCTCCGTGTGGTTTCTCTCCCTCTCTGTCTCTCTCTCTGTCTCTCTCTGTCTCTCTCTCTCTCTCTCACACACACACACACACACGGTCTTTACTTCTGGCTGCTTCCCTTACCCCGTTTATCCCCCCTCCCCCGCTGCCGATGGTGCACCGACCCTGGCGCCTTCCATGGACAATGTGCAGGTGACCGGCTTGCGGCCCGGCTTTGTCAACTTGTCCGGCATCAGCGTACTATGTACGCCGGTGGAGCGGGCTCCTGGCGACCAGGTAGTCTGGCGCCCGGTCCCCGGACAAACCAGTCGGGCATCCTCCCCCGAGAACATTGGGTCGATCTTTGTGTCGTCTTGATGGGGGCGTCCTGTGTGGGCGCGTACATCCGGCGAGGGGAAGCACAGACAGTTGCTCCCTGCGCCGCGCTTGTCATGAATGCACAGCTTTTCCCTTGCTGTCCATGTTGTTTCTTCCCCTCCTGTCCTCCAGTGTGGGTCCAGGGGGTCTTGTGGCGCAGGGAGCCCCATGCATGGAAGCGGAGCTTCTGGGGTGGAGAGGGGGGGGGGAGGGGGCAGGGGGCAGAGGCGAAGAGGGTGGTCCCCTTGCCAGCGGATCCGAGGACGCGTCAAGGGGGCGGCAATAAAGAAAAAGGAATTTAAGCCAGGACGGGGGCCCATCCCCCATCAATTGGCGCTTTGTCCGAGTGGTTAAGGAGCCAGCCTGCTAAGTTGGTGTGCTCTGCACGCGCGTGTTCGAATCACGCAGGCGTCACATTCTTTTGCACTTGGGCCCCTCCCTTTCTTGAGCCCCCTGGTACTGGCTGCG